GACCCCCCCCTGGCCAGCCCCCCTCCCCACCGGCCGGTGTTCCCCCCGGATCAATCCCGCTCCCCCCGCTCCCCTCCCGACCAGCCCCGCTCCTCTCGTGGCCACCAGTCCCCGTTCTGAGATGATGTGTGTCCAGTATTTTTGGTAGCACTTTGTAGACTAACAAAACATGGTGGGATCACGAGCTTTCGTGGGCACAGCCCACTTCTTCGGATGCCCGAAAGCTCATGGTCCCTTCCACGTGTGGTTAGTCTATAAAGCGCTACCAGACCATCGGTTGTTTTTGTCTGCAACAGACCAACTCAGCGTCCCCGTTCTGAGATGATGTGTGTCCAGTATTTTTGGTAGCACTTTGTAGACTAACAAAACATGGTGGGATCACGAGCTTTCGTGGGCACAGCCCACTTCTTCGGATGCCCGAAAGCTCATGGTCCCTTCCACGTGTGGTTAGTCTATAAAGCGCTACCAGACCATCGGTTGTTTTTGTCTGCAACAGACCAACTCAGCTACCCCCTGACGCTTTGGGATTTTTTCGAAACCCATCTGGTAACCCTGTGAGTGTCCTGCCGCTGAAACCTGCTGCTCCAGGCATCCCCTGATGGGGTCGTCCCTGCTCCAGGGCTGGGGGGACAGGGGCGGCACCCCTCGGCTGTGAGCCAGAGGCCAGGCCCTGGGGCCTCCCCGCACTGTTACTGCAACACACGGCATGGCCAGGGCACAAGCCCCCGCCAGCCTGCCCCCTGCCTCGCAGTGCCCGCCCGCGGCACAGCCCTATTGCGCCCACGGGTGGCACGCAGGCAGTGGGGAGCCAGCCTGCACCGCACAGCAGCAGAGCTACGGAGACAGGCCTGACTCGGGCCTCCTGGCGTCGGGTTCCCAGAAAATCTCACGCAGCGCTGCTGGGGCTGAGCGAATCAGAACTGCTCCTAGGCTGCGCCCTCCGTAAAACGAGTGTCCCTGGGGCGCTTGGCCGCAGGCCGGGAGCGCTGCAGAGTGGCCCCCCGCTAGGTAATCAACCGGCCCCGGCACAGCTGGAGGAGTGGGGTGCTGCTCCTCCCCTGGAGGAGACTAAGGGGGCAAACGCCCATGGAGAGGCCAGCGCAGGTGGTGCAGGGGGATGCACGTCCAGAGGTTGGTTGCCCAGGCTCTGGCCCCTGGCAGCACCTGCCCCAGAGGGACCCGGCCTGTGGGGGACTGTCCCTGCCAGCACTAGAGGGGGCTGCAGGGGACGGAGGAGGGCCAGGGCCTGTTCCACCCCAGCCTGGCTGTGCTTTGGGAGCTGAGTGGGCATCCGAGCCTAGAACCTGGTCCAACATTTACTCCCGTGTCTGTGATGCCGGTTTTAATTGCTTGTCTGCTTCCCCTCCCAGTCCGAGCTCTGAGACGTCGCCCACGGCAGCTCCCCGTTGCCAGCCGGCGTGAACCCCCCAGCTCTGCCATGGGTTCTGAGCTGCTGGGAGACCAACGTGCCGCCCCTGCCCCCAGATCCCTGCTCCGACGGCCGGGCAGCGACAGGACTCAGCTGGAACCAGGAACCCACCTGGCTCGGCGCCACCCCCAGAGCGGATGGGGCCTGCTCTCTGCAGCCGCCCGAGGCCATGCAGCCGTCCTGTGGGA